TGTCATCCTTTCTGTTCCTTCTTATTTCTTTTACAGCCTGGCTCAATCAGTGGTTGTTCTTCTATTGGACATCTATTTTTACCTCTTCCTGAATCCATGCTTTCAGATCTTCCTTTCTATTCCTAAGAAAACCATTTTCCTTCCTTCCTTCCTTCCCTCCCTCCTTCATTTTTTTCTTCCTTTTTCCGTCTTTTTCCCCTTTCCCCTCTCACTCCTAGTGCTATCCAGAACACTACACATATGCTAGGCATGTGAAGTGTCTATTCAAATCTTTACTTAGTTTTTAAACTTTGTGTGTGTGTGTGTGTGTGTTTGTGTTTATCTTTATTTGTTTGTTTATTTAGTGAGTTCAAGGGCAAGAGTATGGAAGCCAGAAGACAACAGGCAGGCACTAGTTCTGTCCTTCCATCATGTGAGTTCTGGAGATCAAACTCAGGCTACCAGACTTGAAAGCTAGTGCCTTTATCCATGAGCCATCTCCCAGGCCCAAATCTTCACTCATTTTTAATTGGTCCTTTTCTTTACTCCTTGCCTACAATCTTCCATTTTCAGTCCCTGTGGTAGTTAAAGTGGGTATGGCCCCCTATAGACTCATGTGTTTGAATGCTTGGACCATAGGGAGTGGCACTATTAGGTAGTGTGGCCTTGTTGGAGTAGGTGTGACCTTGTTGGAGGAAGTGTGTTACTTTGGAAGACGGCTTTGAGGTCTCATGCTCAAGCTACACCCAGTGTGAGACAGAGGTGCTTATGTTGCCTGTGGATCAAGATGCAGAACTTTAGCAACTTCTCTAGCACTATGTCTGCCTGCACATGGCCATGTTTCCTGCTATGATGGTAATGGATTGAAACTCTGAACTGTGAGCCACTCCAATGAAGTGTTGTCCTTTATAAGAGTTGCCTTGCTGTGTTGTCTCTTCACGGCAATAGAAACCCTAACTAAGACAGTCCCCTAATGTATGTGCCATCATGCCATACTAGTTTCTTTTATTTTGTCTTTTCTGTTACTTACTTTTTTTCTTGAGGTAAGGTCTCTTGTCACCCAGGCTAGCCTTGAACTTGTCATGTATCCAAGGATAACCTTGAATTTCTTACCCTTCTGCCTCCACTTCCCAAGTGCTAGGATTACAGGTACTCACCACTGCACTGGGCTTTATGCAGTGCTGTCAATCAAAAGGGTTTTCATGCTTGCTAATAATTGAGATCCATGCCCAGTCCTACTGTGTTTCTTTCTTGTCAAAATTTGAGAAGTTTTATGTATACAAGTACTTCCTCTGACATAGAATTTACAACTGTTTCTTGTAGTGCTTGTCTGTTGTATAGCAAAAGGTGTGAAAGAGGGTGTGTCCTGTTTTGTTTTGTATGAATTGTAATACTTTTATTTTGTTGCAGCACTGGGGATTAAAACCAAAGCCTTGCACTTGCAAAGCAGGTACTTTCCCCAGGCTGATATGAATTTTGTTTTGTTTTGTGGAGACAGAGTCTCATGGCTAGGTGGCCCTTGCTGGGCTGGAACTTGCTCTGTGTGTCAGATTGGCCTCATGTTTGTAGCAACCCCTGCACTGTGCACTGAGATTTGAAGCACCACACCCAGATTTTTCCTTCTTTCTAGAGTTTGAAATTTTACCGCTTCTTTTGCATTATCATCATTGATTTTTAAAAATGTTTTTGTTTTTTGCTTGTTTTTGAGACAAGGTCTTGCTATGCTACCCTGGCCAGGCTCAAAGTTGAGTCAGTCTTCCTGTCTCAGTTTTCCATGTACTGAAATTACATGCGTGCATCACCACACTGGGCATCTTTTTTTCTGACTATTCCTTTAAAATATGGCTTGTTGTGGACAGAGAGGTGTATTCCTGACACAGAAATTGCTTAGCATGTATATTTTGTTACTTTTATGTTGTTGTCATAAAACAGCACGAACAAGGCAACTTATGGAAAGGACAGGGCTTTGTTTGGCTTTGTTTGTTTTGTTTTTGCTTATGGTCCCCATGGGAGACTCCACAGTGATAAGGATGATGGAAATAAGTGCCTGTAACAGGACTCTGAGAGTTCCCGTCTTTAACCCAAAGCACAAAAGCAGAGAGAGAACAAAGCAGAGGTGGTCTAAGGCAATAAATTCTCAAAGCCCTCTTCAGTGACATGCATTCTAGCAAGGCCATACCTCTTAAAAGTGCTATAACATCCCCAGACATCACCAACAACTGGGAACCAAGTGTGGAAACACCTTATCCTACAGGGTACAGTTCTCTCTCACACACACCAAAACCTTTTGTCTGTGTCTCATGAGTTAAGATATTAATGAGATAACTGCATATTCTGTTTTTGATGGATAGTGTCATTTCTTTTAAGTTTACTTTCCCATTTTGAGAGTTGTTTTTAGCTTGTATTTTTCATGTCTTCTTCAAAGGCCTGACAACTGCTGATATTTATGTATATGTATGTGTGAGAATATTTAGGCATAGCTGTGCATGCCACAATCCCAGCACTTGGGCAGCTGAGGCAGGAGGGTCACCCCACATTTGAGACCAGCATAATCTATTATAAGGAGTACTAGTCCAGGCTGAGCTATATAAGGAGACCCAGATAAGTGTGTGGGAATAAAACAATAAACACTATCAATATGCAGAGACATATGGAGACTCAAGAGCCTCACTGTAGGTTGACTAGACACTCTAGTTTTTGTTTTGTCTTTACTCTGTGTGCGTGCGTGCGTGCGTGCGTGCGTGCGTGCGTGCGTGCGTGCGTGCGTGCGTGCGTGCGTGCGTGTGTGTGT